TCTACCCTTGTCTTTGGACGTCTGCAGTGAAATGTATTTTTGCTGTGCTTTGTGCAATGACAATAAAGTTGATTCTGATTCTGATAAGAGGTTACACAAACTCATTTGGTGTGTTTGTAATTGCTGAAAGGAACTGGTCAAAGGATCAAAAACCGTTCAGCAGATCCATCATAGCAGCTTCCCTACTGAGGACTTTTACATCAGCAAGTGAAGGAGCAATGGGAACAGTGGAAGACCCCACCCACATGACATTGAAACATTTTGACTTTGACTCTCTAGATAAATAATACTGATGAGCTTATTTCTTATATTATTAGATAGCTTTTGTTAATGTTTAATGGACGCTGCTAGTTTTGAGGACAGTTGTTGTTTTTTTGTGTTGAAACATAGAAACGACTAAAAGAAACCTTAACTTTGACCTTGAAATTTGTTTTTCACAAATATGGTGTAGTTCTTTAACTTTCCTTGGGTTTGTGTTGTAGATCAAAACCAATAAAGAAGACATTGATGACATTAAGTCTCATGGAGGAGGAGTTCCACCTGAAATCACCAACAAGCTCACCCAACTTGACACTAAGGTAAAACCAGTTAGTTTCACTTGGATGACCAGCTCGTGCATACTTAATCGTATTTACTGATAAAGGGATAATAAAGTTCCTTACGCCTCACTCACCACCTGTCAAGTGTCTGACTTGTCATAAAAATCCATAATTTTTTGTGCAGCCTGTACTTCTGACACATGCCGCTGATTAATTGTAAGCCTTGTGCATGCTGCATGCACTGATCACGTCACATGTTTGTTTTCCACAGGCTAATAGCAATATTTTTCCAACATGCATGCAAACCAGGCATGCCAGCTGTACGTCACACATACTTTGTGCATACTAGTTCTCAAACTGTTTGCTGGTGAACACTGGGAATCTGTGGCCCGGTTGTATTCTATTAATCCCTGTGACCCCTTGCATGTTCAAAACACATGGATCGTGAGCTTGACTAAAATAAGTCTTTCATGCAAAATGACATGATTAAAATTTTACATTAAATCATTCATTTGAACGACATTAAAAGATTATGAATTAAAGTTGTTTTAGGTGGCTGCCTGGCTGACATCAGGGATTGGATGGCTTTCAGTTTCTTAAGTTTTAATGAAAAGAATACAGAAGTCATGATGTTTCCTCCTAATGGCATGATCAAGAACCACTGAATCCACCTTTCCTGTCTAGCCCTGTTAGAGAAACAAGTAATCACTAATCTGGGAGTGAAAATGGACCCTTACCTAAACTAAACAGTCATGTTCAGTCATTTTGGCTGTTAAATCCTGTTTCTTTCACTTGAGGCGAGTGTCTAAACTGAAGCCCATACTGTCCAAAAATAATCTTGAGACAGTACCACATGCGTTCATAACATCCAGGCTCGATTACAGCAATGCATTTATTTTTGGAATCAGTCAGACCTCCATTGTACGTTTACAACTGGTTCAAAACGCTGGAGCCAGATTTTGAACTGGTTCAGGCAAAAGAGAGCACATCACACCAGTTTTGGCCTCCCTGCACTGGCTCCCAGTTCTCTTTCAAATTCATTAAAAAAAATTGCTCTGTATATTTTTAAATCTCTAAATAGTTCTGCCCCCTCTTATCTCGCTGATCTGCTGCAGCCATATGTCCCACAGCGCTCTCTGAGCTCAGCAGACCAGATGCTGTTATTGGTTCCAGGAACCTGTCTTAAGCTCAGAGGTGACGGGGCTTTCTCTGCTGCAGGTCCAAAACTGTGGAATGAGTTGCCACTGCATGTCAGGCAGGCTCCCTCTCACTGGTGAAGATTCTCAGTGTGATGTATCATCAGAACTGAAAACACCTCCCAAAGATCAAATGTCTTTTATTCAAGTGCTGGAGTTCACTTAGAACTCCTCCTTGATTCTCCAAACTGCACTGCACCCTGCTGCAGGTAAAACACTGACTACTCAGAACTGTTCTACAGACGTTCTTAAAAGAAATCTACAGTCCCTTTAACGTTAAAATGATTGATATTTGGAATAAATAATGAATATGTAAGTCAGCATTAAACCACCAGTTGTCAAACGTGTTTGTAAAATTATTTTATGTTTTTATCACAGTTTGATTCAAAATAAATTTAAATTATTTGTCATTTTATGTAGTTATACAATATTTTCTTCAAATACATAAACTAATTAGAAGTATGAAAACAATGAGCGTTTCTCTTTAGTATAAAAAATATATAGATAAATGATCTGTACTGTCATTCCTTGGAACAATATTTTCTACAACAGCTTTGATGCTTTTCAGGTGACGGCACTAGAAGGCCAGGTGACTGACCTTCAGCAGGTGAGGCATTTTAAAGCTTCAGGTTGTGCTCCAACATGTGGACTGTATGAAAACACCTCTTGTCTTCTCCTGCAGACAGTCCAGCGCAGCTCCTGCAGCAGTAACCCCTGCCAGAATGGAGGAACGTGTCTGAACTTGTTGAACTCATACCACTGCTTGTGTCACACCAACTGGGCTGTGAGTTCTCTGCTGTTTGTGACAAACTGAGTGACGGTCGTCTGTTTGGACCAATCGTGTTCACGGTCCTGTTTAGGATGGCCATCTGACCTTAGGGCACACAAAACTGGCTGCAACTCAGGTGTACACATATTAAGCTATAAGTGGTGCAAAAAACGACTTTATATGAACATACAGACACATTCATGCGCACATCCATAGATGAAAACCAACATAAAGTCATACAAATTTTAATATGAAACAACAAACAATAAAACATTTGTTAGCAGGCAACTCCTTTAGCTTTTAAAAAAATAATTATAATGTTATTGATTGTGTCCATTTACAAAAATGTCTTGTGTGCGTGCATGTGTGTTTTAGGGCCCTAATTGTGCAACGGATGTAAATGAATGTCAGGTGTATGCAGGAACTGTTCAAAGTTGTCAGAATGGAGCCACTTGTGTCAACAGTCCTGGATCTTTCACGTAAGTTCTCACTTTTCTTATTGAGTGAGCATCAAAACATTCAAAATTATTTACTTTTATATTTATTATACTGGCTGCACATACCTTTGTGATGACAATATTCTGTAAGTCCATGTTACTCACAGTGTAGTACCAGTACCACTGGTGGTACTTAGCTAAATTCCTTCTGACAGGAGTGACACTATCAAATATTTTTAAATTACAATAGAGAAAATGTACAATGCATTTTGAACGCTGAGCGCTAGATACATTTGCTAAATGTAATTTTAACGGAATAATCCAAATAAAACAAGCAAAACTAAATGAAACTAGAGAAATGGTATTTCCTGCACAAATGTAGTGTGAACGCTTATTGCTGAAGAACTTGCTGACAAACAGCTAAAATCATCCTTAAATGTAGCTGAACTTGAAGAACAAACTGAAATTAGCAGAAGAAAACAGAAAATACACATCTTGCTGAATTAGGTTTAAATAAGCAGAAATTAGCACAAACATGAAATTAGTTCAGAAAGTTGAAATTAGCAAAAAAAAAAAAAAAATATAGTAAAAGGTTTAAAGTACCAGAAGGAAGTAGAAGGAGCTGAAATAAGCACAAAATAAGGTGGAATTAGATGAAAAAGATCAAATTAGCATAAAACAGCTAAATGGTAGCTGAAATATCAGATAAAGCTGAAACTAGCAGAAATAAGCTGAAAGGAGCACAACAAGCTGAACTTACCATAAAGAAGTTAATTAGGTTGAAAGTAGCAAAAAATTATCACGAAAATCTTGAAATTTTCTGAAAACAGCTGAAATTAGCTAAAAAATGCTAAATAAAATAAAATAAAGTAGCTGAACAGTTTTAGCAGAAGAATTAGCAGAAGAAAGCAGAAAGAACATGTTTGCACAATTAGGCTGAAAGAAGCAAACATGAGCACAGAAAAGTGGAAATTATATTAAAAAAGCTGAAATTAGCAACAAACAACAACAATAACAACAACAAATTTTAAAAGTAGCAGAAAAGGCAGAAAGAAGATTAATCTCCAGAAGGAAGTGGAGGGAGCACATGTTTTGCTGAATTAGGTTGAAAAAAGGTAGAAATTAGTGCAAAAAATGTGGAATTGCTGACAAAGCTGAAGCTAAAATTAGCATCAAAACAACAAAATAGTTGAATAAATAAAAATAGTTGAAATAGCTGAAACTTGCCGAAATAAGCTGAAAGGAGCAAAACGTGCTGAAATTAGCAGAAAGAAGTTAGAAGAAGCAGAACAAATATTGTTAGCAGATAGAATCTGAAAAGAGCACAAAACAGCTGGAAAGAGCTGAAATTTGCTGAAAGTAGCTGAAAAAATGTTCACATTTGCATAAAGACGCTGAAGGAAGCAGAACAAAATGTGAAAGGAGCAGTAAAAGGTTGTAACCACATCTAAAGATCTGAAGGATGTAAAATGAGCTCAATTCATTTTCTATGAGTAAAAATGGAAGAAAAGGCTAAATATTCCAAATAGCTAAAGTTGCACCCAAACCAAAAGTCATTGCAGGATTGTCCTGAAAGAGCTGAACGTTTTGATGATTTATTGAAAGAGTTTGAAAACTGCGGGATGAGAATCACACAGAGAAACATATGGAATAGGGATAGAAGTTGGAATAATAAATATAAACAGGAAAACAACTGTGTGAAAGCTAAAAAGCATTCACACAATTAGCAACAAAAATTATATATATATATATATATATATATTTATATATATTTATATAATTTTATATAAATATGTTAATTCGTCCCATGAAATTGAGTTTTTCATTGGCATTTTCAGTGGTGGTTATGCTGTATAATAAAAATAACCCCCAATAAAAAAACAAAAACCAAACAAACGAAATAAAATAAGGCTGTTGTGAATAGTTTATAATCCCACTCTAACTTGGCATGTCTTTACAGACAGAACACAGCACCTCTAGTGTTTTCAGCTTGACGTCTTTTATTAGTCCTGATGACAGAGCACAGCTGCAAATGAACATCTGTTAATGACGGTTCTGTTTGTGTCCAGCTGTAATTGCTCTCCAGAATGGTCAGGGACTCTCTGCACTGTGCGTTACGATGACTGCAGGAATGCAGGACAGGACCTGTGTGTGCATGGTTTATGTATTGATGCAGATCGCGTTGTACCTGGACAGGTAACTAATCTCCTTCAACTGGAGCTTGATTCAATCATTTTTACTTAAGAGGATTTATTCTTTTAAATCTTATCAGATGTTCATAAATGTTTCAAAGCTAAACAAAAAGTTTACTGTTTATTCTTTGTCATAATTATATGCTGACATCAGTGTTTTCATTTAAACTTGGGAAATTGTTCTGAAAACACACACGCTACATTCAGGCACACGTTTTGACCAGGGAAGAAGAATGATTTTGTGCACACTCCATTTGTTTTCCCCCAACAGCCAAAATACCAGTGCATTTGTGAGAGTGGATGGGAGGCTCCAGCGGGAAACCCAGCGTGTGTGGCAGATGTTGATGAGTGTAACCTACCCACCAAGCCTTGTTCAGCCAACCCTGCTGTTCCCTGCTACAACACCCAGGGTTCTTTCTACTGTGGAGCCTGTCCTGCTGGTACCATTTAAAACTAACAGTTTGCTGTTCGCTAACTTATTCTTGACCTACTGAGGCAAAAGGCCTGTTTAGGCTTCAAGTACAATTATCAGGTATAGAACAAAAATAATTCCGTTACAACAAATCCTTAAAATAGTGCTGGTAAAATTCGTATTTTTCAACCTAGACCAGTTTATTGTCTCATTGTCTCAAGAAAAAAAGAGTTTAATGCAGTTTATAGCAGTAAGATATCTGTAGAAACAGCAACAGATCATTTCAGTTTTGCTGGGTTTGATTAGTTTGGAGTCCTTGTATATTGCTGTCTGATCTTGGAAAACTCAATTTACTTCTGTACTTTTGTTCCTTGCTGGTCATCGTTGCACTTGCTGGAGTGTTTTTGACTGTCTTTAACGTGGAAGGATTTTAATATTACAACTCATCATAAAATCTACAGAACTCTCATAGGATTAAATGAGTAAAATACTAACGGTAAATCTTGGTTAGTAAAACTTTTGCACCATTGTATCATCATATTTCATACACATGCAAGCCATGATGAGAGGTCCGTCTTCTATTAGGATGCAAAATCATCAGTTTATCAATTTTATCTTTATAAGGCAGACAAACCGGACTGATATGTGCAAAACATTAGAACAGCTGTAGAAATGTATACTTTTAGATGGGAATTTGTTGTGGCCAGTCAAAGGTGTGTAATATGTTCCTGCCATTGCTTAGCTCATTTTGTGTTTGTGTAACGTAAATTAAATGCAGATCCATTTTTAAGCAGCATATCTGTTAAGCATTTGACAAAACAAGAATAAAACATCACTTTATTTCTAAGAACAAACACTAATGATGGTTTTTAGATCATAGCTCTAAGAAATGTTCGTCAAACAGTCAGAAACAGACATCGTCATTCAATATTGTCATGATCTGACTGTAGCGTGCTCGAACCCAGGTGCAGGCAGGGGATGAGGCTCCAGTAAATAAGTAAAAACAGTTCATTAATTAAATAAACAAGACAAGATGCTCATGGGGCAGCTAACTTACTCAGAGGAGGACACGAAGGGAGACAGGTCTGAAGCCTTGGACAGGACAAGGACAATCCAGAGATACTGACAAGACACCAAGTGTCTGAATATACAAACACTAACAAGGTGAAATGAAAGGCACCTGCGGTGATTAGGATCAGACACAGGTGTGACAGTGCTGGAACACAGGAGAAATGCTGAGGGGGGAAAACACAACATGAAGGACCAGAGCCCAGAAACCCTAC